GATTGCTACAGCTTGTTATATTATGAATCGATCTTCACATTCGATATTAGACGGTGATACACCCTATCGGGTGTGGTCAGGGAAGCATGCAGATTATGAGAGGCTCCGGATTTTCGGGTGTACTGCTTACTATCACGTCAAAGAGGAAAAACTTGACACGAGAGCCAAGAAAGCAATTTTCTTGGGGTATGCAAAGGACGTAAAAGGCTACCGCCTTTGGTGTACAGAAGATTCGAAGTTCGTGATCAGCAGGGATGTTACCTTTGATGAGAAGTCCATGATTATTAGGGTGCCCAAAGACGGTGGTGTTGAGACTGTTAGGACTCCCGAGTCCTAGGTTATTGAGATAGAACCTAAAGACCAACCAGGTTTTAGTCGTGTTCAAGTGGGAAATCAGGTAGATGATGAGCTTGAGCAGGAGGAGGTTCAGCAGGAGAATACACATGCACTACACTCGAGGATAGTTTGGCTTCCACTAGACCAAGACGAGCATACAAGCAGGTACTGAAGCTGGTGGCTGATCAACTCCTGAAGCACTATGGGCAGGTTAATTTGGTGGAATACGCACTCTCGGTGGAGGAAGATGAGCCGGTCTCCTTCAAGAAAGCTATTCAGAACAAGGATAGTGACAGTTGGTTGGCTGCGATGGAGGAGGAGATGGAATCTCTTCGGAAGAACTAAACATAGGAAGTGGTCTTATTGCCCGTAGGAAAGAAAGCTATAGGTTGTAAGTGGCTGTATAAAAGAAAGAAAGGTCTTTCAGAGCTCTGCGGTACGAGGTACAAGCGAGGCTAGTGGCTAAGAGATTTACACAAAGAGAGGGTGTGGATTACAATGAGATATTTTCTCCGGTGGTGAAACACACCTCTATTCGGGTGCTTTTGAGTATTGTTGCTCATGGTGATCTTGAGATGGAACAACTCGATGTCAAGATGACCTTCTTGCACGGAGACTTGGATGAAGAGATCTATATGTATCAACTTGAGGGTTACAAGGTTGAGGATAAGGAGAATCATGTATGTCGCTTGAGGAAGTCACTTTACGGATTGAAGCAATCTCCGCGACAGTGGTACACACTTTACGGATTGAAGCAATCTCCGCGACAGTGGTACAAGCGATTTGACTCCTTCATGCTGAAGCATGAGTTTTCGCAATCTCCGCGACAGTGGTACAAGCGATTTGACTCCTTCATGCTGAAGCATGAGTTTTCCCGAAGCGATTATGATTGTTATGTTTACATTCGGAAGCTTCGTGGAGATGATTATATCTATCTCCTTTTGTATGTGGATGACATGCTTATTGCATCGAAGAACAAGGAGGAGATAGATAAGCTGAAATCTCAACATAACAAAGAGTTCGAGATAAAGGATATAGGCGCTGCAAAAAAAATACTGGGTATGGAGATTAGAAGAGAGCGGGCGAATCGGCGATTGTTCTTGAGTCAGAATGGCTACATAGAGCGGGTGATCGTGAGGTTCAGGATGCAAAGTGTAAAGTCGGTAGTGACTCCATTGGCTCCACACTTTAGGCTTTCAGGTAAACAATCACCCACTACAGCGAAAGATAAGGCACATATGGAGTGTGTTCCCTATGCTAGTGTAGTTGGCAGTTTGATGTACGTAATGGTGTGTACACGTCCAGATATTTCTCAGGCAGTTAGTGTGGTCAGCAGGTTCATGACGAATCCGGGAAATACACACTAGGAAGCGGTGAAATGGGTCCTAAGGTACTTAAAAGGTACCGCGGATACGGGTCTATGTTTTGGTGGAGATACATGTCAGATCGACGGGTATGTGGACTCAGATTATGCGGGCGATCTAGATAGACGACGATCTAGTACTGGTTATGAATTCAGGATACATGGAGCTCCAGTTAGTTAGCGATCGATGTTGCAGGCTACAGTGGTACTTTCTACAACAGAGGCTGAGTACATGACCATGACGAAGGGAGTGAATGAAGCATTGTGGTTGTGGGGTCTTCTAGAAGATTTGAGGATTGAGCAGGAGAGCTTGAACTTGTGGTGCGACAGTCAGAGTGTAATTCACTTGGCAAAAAATCAAGTTCACCATGCTGGTACCAAGCATATCGACGTCAGATATCATTTTGTGCGGGATGTAATAGAGGAAGGTGATATTTCTCTCATGAAGGTGCATACGAATGAGAATCCCGCGGACATGTTAACCAAGGTGGTCACAGGTAGCAAGTTCCAGCATTGCTTGGACTTGCTTCATATCAGCCCACGTTGATTTGCCCAAGAGGGTATGACCCTGCGAGGCGGTGATGGAGGTGAGGTGGAGACTATGTTGGAGAATAATTACAGAACTACGGTTAGCTTGCTCCCGGTGGAGGGTACATAGGCAGTCGCGGTATAGTGACGCAACTGGTTGGCCTGGTTTGACCTGTATCTCTCTGGTGGAGTTCGTGGGGTTCTTCTGGTGTTCGTTTAAAATTTGAGGTTTATCAAATGATGAACGAGATGGAGAATTATGGTCGCGAGGGGGGGGCGCCATCACTCACGTGGGTGTTTGCCCACGAGCAGACGAGCCACGCTGCTTTTCGTGCCGCGCAACGAAATGCCTACCGCTGTGCCGCGCCGCAGTTCGTGCGCTCTGCGGTCGAGCTCCGCGCCGACGCGCTGCTGTGCTGGCACTCGTGTGCCAGTGCGTTGAGCAGAGCGCGGATTTTTGCCTGCTGAATCTTTTCTTGCCCGCGGCGCGTTTCTTTTCCGGGCGTGAGAGCCCGCCACTTCTTCGGTTTTTCTCCCCCATTGGTTTCCTATAAATAGAGAAGGGGTGGAGGTGTTTAGGGAGGGGGAAAATAAGTGGGAAAAATCTCTTGAGTGGAGCTCTGAGAGAAAAGAAAGAGTGAGTTAAGAGAGAACTTGTAATAAGTTTGGTATTCTCCTCATAGTGAAAACCCCCTCTCGTAGATGTAGGCTAGTTAGCCGAACCACGTAAATCTCGTGTTTGTATTGTCTTATCTGTGAGTTGCCATAGCTTGTAGGTTCCCTCGACATTTTAGTCTTAGAACTGATGAGAGGAAGAATGTATATTTCACTTTGATGAAATATCTCACTTTCGATTCTTGTTTCCTTTGAGAAATAAAAATTTCACTTTCTATTCCTGTTTCCTTTGAGAAACAAGAATATAGAGGTTGACTTGTGTTTTTGTGATAACGAAAGTCAGGGCTATCTCTCAGATGATATCGCTTCCACGGGGTGAGGACGTGACTCTGCGCCCAACAGTACAGGCACAGGACACGAAAGATTTGTCAAAGGTAGGGTATGGAGACATTGCTATATAAATATTTATATACACATATATTATATATTAGAATTTATAATTTATATGAGAACAAGGATGAGAATTAAAATTCCTATAACATTACTATGTTTCTTTATTATAGGATTATACATTGGAATATCACTAGTTTTTGAACGAGACATCCAAACAGCCATTTAAAATCATAATTCGGAACCTAACCTATGTCCAACGAGTTTCGAGAAGTTGATGTGTATATGTCCAAGAAATGCATCACAAGTGTTTTAAATTAAACCATGCATTCTATAATTGAGTATATGCCCAAATAAATTGTACGCATATATGCAAAGAGTGTCCAAGGAGTTTGGGTACGGGTATGCGTCAGGTACGGGTACAGCTTCAGATTAGAAGCACCCAAGTAACATAGTGATTAATGGTAAATTTTCTCTAAACTCCAAGGAGGTTTTGTCTCATCAACCTCCCTCTCCTTAGATTCAGGGCTCCTTAGTCGAGACCAATCCTATATGTACCTTTTGCTAAACATGTAGCTGCCTAATATGGAGCTATGAACGCTGATTCAAATGTTCGATTAATTTCCATAATCAAAAACTCAACATGAGCGTGACCATTTGCTCAGCTTATCGACTGATTCTGTTCTCCGAAGAATCGGCTTGATGGCTTATGAAACCTTCTATATCAAGATCCATTTTTTTTATAATAATAAAAAAAACCTTTCCTTGCATAATTCAACCCAGAAAAATTCAAACTTGGAATTTATTTGGGTTAGGGTTTCAAGTCGTCGTCAATCTAGGGCAAATCACCGCTAGCACGCGATGCACGATGATTGGAAGATGCCATGGGAATCAAATTGTAAAAATTGATAAGAATCGAACATTGCTTGTAACGCAATCTGAATGAATCTAGGGCAAATTGGGTCTAAGATAAATCATAAAGAACATAGACTACGAGATTGTAAAGAGAATAAATACGGTAATGAAATTGGGGAACGAGAAATAGAGGCGCTTACGATTGAATTGACGCCGGCGATCGGAGGAGAGAGGAGACGAGATTGTGGATGAAAATGGCCGTCACTTTTTAGGTTTTCTTTTTCCTTTTTTTTTTAAGACCGACTGTTGGCGGGAAAATAACACTTAAAAATAACTCACATCATTAAAAATAACTCACATCATCCAATAATATAAAAGTAACTCAATTTATTTCATCCCTTTTCTTAGTTTTAAGAAATAAACCTAAAAACATATTATAAATAGTTTTCTTATAATTAATTTCCTTGTTTTTTAGCCAACCAAACAATCCCTAATAACATCATAGCAATTTAGCGTCCTGCCTTTTTTGTTTTTTTTTTTGTTTTTTTTTTTAATTTGGATTTAAGAAAATCCTCTCTTTTTTTTCCCTTTTTCTTCCATTGCGCTGAAGGACTGAAAGTCACCATGTCTTTATAGGAAAATAAATGCTCTGATGAAGAATAAAATTATGCAAAACCCAAAACTTTTATATCACATAAAATATCCTAAATCTATATGCTTTATTGGAGAAAATAACCATCATGAGAACCATACAATCCTCTTACAAGCAACAAACAAATAAATAAATAAAATTAAATTTTATTTCACATAAACAATGCTTTATCCTAAAGTTTAAGCTGCCATTTGTTTGGATGTCCCAAAACTATGATCACAAGATCTCTCCAAAAGATTCAATAACCACAAAGATCAGGAATGATGGCAAGGTAGAACCATAGCTAACACCAAAGAAGCATATAACTACCACATGAATATCTGGGCTTTAGAGATAAAATTAGGCTACAGTTCGGCATAAAATTGTAAATTGTTACACAAAAATTACTGCAAGTCTCTTAATCTGCTTTATAATAATTTTTAAAAAAAAAAGATTTTCGCAACTCAAGCAGCAAAAATGGATAGGATGTTCTTCTTGACGGTGAACTCATCCGCCTTCAAAGGGCTGATCGACTGCAAAGGAAGGAAGAAATTGACCCACATTAGTATCTGATCTTTGACATATTTTATCAACTTACGGAAGAATTTTCACAGATCAAAAGACTTTCAGAGAGAGGGAGGGGGCTTACCTTTTCTAGCATGCGTTGGAGACGTTCGCTCTCCTTTTTCGCGTAGCCAGCTCCTTTCTCAATGGAGCCCTTTGCAACCTTCAAATACACCTTACCGTACCTAGAAAAGATCATAATACCCCAAATCACTCATCAATTCAGGGTTTTGAAGCAGACACGCACGCGGTGTGTTCAGATTAAGTTCCCTCAGGAGAAGAACTAATCAAGTTCACAAGGGCGAGTAACCTATAGCCAGTCATATGAGAATAGTTATTCAGAGGGTATAGATTAAAACATGTTTTCTTCCTTGGTACCTCGCGAATTCACTTCATATTTCCAATGCCATATAACAATGCAATATACTGTAACATGCAACTCTTTGCTTTATGATCTATGGTTGCCTGCCTTTTTTTAAGGTACCGTGTCCATGTTCGGATGTGCTACTGAAGTTTTCTCATGCAGGATTATAAAGTTAACTCCACTGGAGGCACCTCTATGTTGCATCCAAAACCACGTGGAAATACCAATATTTGATAAATGACAGAAGGTTAGGGCTCATAATCTGGGTGTGCATGTTTCGTAATGTTAGAAGTTACAAGCCACATAATCTTTTATCTTCCACTCTCCAGGACGATAGTTTCATCAGAATAAATTCTATTCAGACAGCCAGTGTAACTTTGTTATTGATGCAATGAACATCCCCCAAAAGAAGAAAAAAGGCGAAAATGATGGGGGAAAATAAAGAAATATTTAATAAACAAAATAAATGAAAAATGCAATTGAAGATAATTTGACCTTGACAAAGAACATTACGCAAGGAATTGGTATCTTAAGACGAGCCAAACAATAATATTTTCCAAGGAAACTATGATTGTGAATACCAAACCAAAACACTAATACTGAAGACATTGAACAATAAGAAAAATCAAGCATGCAGATAAAACACGACCTAATAGCAGACACATCTTGTAGTAAAATAGGCATGAAATCAATTAGAGTAATTCACGTAAATATCAACAAAAAAGGAAACCTGCTTCATGACCAAGAATGGTTACCTTGCTGCGGAACCCTTGAGCTTCCCAACCTCCTCTTCAATTCGAGTAAGGACAGCCTTCCTTTCATCATCAGCAGCGCTAGTAAATTCCTTCACTAGAGATTCTAAACTTGCTACTACACCAGCCTACAACAATTTAGGCAACTTTTTTAGGGGGGTTAAAAGAGGTAACAGGTAATGTACAAAAGCTATGTATATGCTACTGACTTGGGAAGTAAGCTGGCCTTTTGCATCACGACTGGTGCCACACTTTTCGTTGATGAAAGTAACAAAGTCATCTACATCGCGTCCGCCGTCATAGTCTTCACCAGCTTTGTTGTTCTTTGGGAAAAACTTCAGTGTAGGGTATCCGCTAACTCCATATCTGAAAAGCCAGGTGATTTTAATTTGACTTTTCCCTCAGTCTTAACAACAAGACAAAATAAAGGTAACAAGCAGAGTACATTTTATAAGTCACAAGTTAGTTACTTCTAACCTTGTTTAATAACCACTTGACAAAAAGGAGACTAGACCATTATCATCCAAAACCGATTAGTTTAGAACCCAATATTACCAAAGAAACTAGCTTAGGGTATAAGTAATAGAAAATTATGGTTTTGCTATGAACCAAACATGTCCATGGAGTGTTCATTGAGGATCCGTGTCGGAAACGGACACGGCATCCAAAACGCCACGTCCGAGTAACCTAGTATATCATCAAAACCCTATCAGCATTACCCTAATAACATTTCTTAAAAATTAGTCAGATATGAATAGAAAGTAGAAAATTTGCCAAAAGTTGCCAATTGAAGCTTCTATGAACATAACTTGAGCAAAATTCAGACCAGATTGATATATGTATCCCTTGCTTTCTAGTTAAAAGGTGCCAGAAGTGAAAGCTCTACTTAAGTTGGAAGCTGATAGAAACAAAATCCAATATTATCGGTAAACAAACTCCAGACACTTCTAGTCATAACTTAGGCATTTCCAACTTACTTCTCAGCCAAATCCTTGTAATTATCAGCATCAAGATTAGCTATCACGACATCCTCTTCCAATTTAAAAGCATTGGCTACTTTCTCATATGTCTAGAAACATAAAAACAATTTCACGTCAGTCCAATGTACCAAGATGTTGAACAGTTGAAGATGAAAGTTTTCATGCGGTACGAGAAGTGACCCAGGTAAAATTTTATAAGATGGATTATTCTACGTACCGGAGCAAGGTTTTTGCAATGACCGCACCTGTACAAATAAGAATACATTGATTTGTTAAAAGGTCTCAAGGAATAAGAAAGAAAGATGTATAAAAAGGGATAAGAGAAATCAACTGACCATGGTGCATAGAACTCCACGAGAACATCTTTATTCTCATCAAGAACGATCTGATCAAAAGATTCTGATGTCAGCACCACTACACTAGACGGGACTGTGGCCAACTTTACATTAGTCCCTGCATATATACACACAATTAATTAGAAGATGTAAAAAGTTGCAACCCACCAAAGAATTTTTAGTTTCTTGTACAAAAGCAAAGTGGTAAGCTAAATATGCTTAATTGTCAATATTTATTAATCAACCAAATCGAAACTTTCGAAAAGTAAAGTGGTGAGTTGGAATAAGTCTTAATTATTTCATGCCAATCAAAATGGACATGACAAACAAAGAATTTGTAGTGGGATGTAATGAAAAAAATGTACATAGACAAAGGTAAAATCTGTTCCATCTCAGGCTATAAACAAGTGAACAGCACAGCAAGAAAAGTCGGTATGATTACATATTTACATTCTTTTTCTACCTCCAATTCCCTCATCATTATGCACAACATGTTTGTTTCTCTCGCACTCCATAATGCCAACTGAATAAGCCATTTCAAAGAATAGAAGGAAATAAACCTAACAAGCCAAATGACTTTTTTGCACAACTTCTGCCTTACAATATACACTTATCCAGCAAAAGCAACAACGTACCAGTAAACAGCCATACACTGACACAAGCTTTTCTGCTCCCAAGAGGTTAGTGCAATGCAGTCTTTAATGCATGAGAACAAGTGAATTTTTTTTTCCAGTTACAAATGATTATTTTCATCTACTTCAGTTTTCTGGCTTGCATTCAATAGCTCTTCACACATTTAAGTTATCTGACTGGAAGGACAATGGAAAAGAAAATTAATCTGACAAATGATGTTAGAGTATTATATACCACCACAGACACTCACATATACATGCTAAGTCACAGTTCACGGTTAATTAACCTGCTTAGCAACAACAGACATCGTGGTTTGCAAATGAAGTTAAAGCTCAGAAATAAGCTTCAAGCTTCGTGCTTTACATGTTAAAAAGAAAAGACAAATATACAGGGAAAATGAAATCATCAAAAGCTCATGAAGACCAAAGCAAAAATTTAATTGAATTTCTTACCAACAAGACAATCCCATTCAGAATAAAGGCATAGAGGCGTTCTAGTG